CTCCAAATTTTGGCTACTATGAATAAATCTGCTATAAACATCTCTGTGCAAGTTTTTGGGTGGACATAAGTTTTCACCTCCTTTGAGTTAAATACCAAGGAGCTTGATTGCTGGATTGTATGGTAATAGTATGTTAATTTTTCTAAGTAAACACCGTCTTCCAAGTGTCTGTACCCTTTTGCATTCTCATCGACAGTGAATGAGAGTCTCTGTTGCTACACATCCTCATTTCATTTGATGTTGTCATTATTTTTAAGCCCTTGTTGGTTGCACCATTTGCAAATATTTTCTCCCAGTCTGTATGTTGTCTTTCATTTTGTTTATGGCTTCCTTTGTTGTACGGAAGCTTGTAAGTTTGATTAGGTCCCATTTGTTTATTTTTGCTTTTGTTTCTATTGCATTTGGAGACTGACCTAAGAAAACATTGGTATAATCTATGCCAGAGAACGTTTTGCCTATGTTCTCTTCTAGGAGTTTTATGGTGTCATGTCTTATTGACATTGTCATTATTATTATTTATTTTTTTCTTTTGCAGTATGCGGGCCTCTCACTGTTGTGGCCTCTCCCGTTGTGGGGCACAGGCTCCAGACGCGCAGGCTCAGCGGCCATGGCTCACGGGCCCAGCCACTCTGCGGCATGTGGGATCTTCCTGGACCGGGGCATGAACCCGTGTCCCCTGCATCGGCAGGTGGACTCTCAACCACTTCACCACCAGGGAAGCCCTGTCATTATTTTTATATTAAAATAAAAAGAGTATTTTATGGAATAATAAAATAGTATGTGCCTTTTGAAATCTCAAGTTGAGGTTTTAAAGTGATTGTCTACTTAGGGCACAAATCTTTGGGAATTTATCCCTAATCCTAGTGGTAACAGTTTAACTTGATCCTGTCATTAGAAGTGGCTTGATGAAAAAGATGGAGAAGCTCAGCAATACTGAATAGCACCCTCTCATTCCAACGTCTTATGGAGTGAGGTGACACAGACCACAGCATTGGTTAGGGGCCTGAATTTTTAAATTATAGATTGGCTTTTCACCTATTCATGTGGATTCTTAACGTTACTAGTTGATTTTTAACCATAAACATAAAAACCTCAACCAAGGCCCTCACCTGAGTGTTACTTTAAGGATTTTCTGCTCTCTAGCTCCTAACCAAAAAGAAATATCAACCAATAACCAGTTTCAGCATTTCACTCTCCCAGCACTCTAAGTTCTACCTTTGGATCAGGATTGAACACATGCTGGCATCTGACTCATCGGGTCCTTCTCAGAAATGTCTTCTTCCCTGGTGTTCTAATATTACACCTTTGACTTTTATTGAAGGCCTTTACAGGAAGGAGCCACATGAGGCCCATTTCTGCATTTGCTGTGAAATTGGTATAAGGACATTGTCCATTAAATTATTCAGTGTTCCCTACCTAAGACTCACATGAGGGCTTGCTCTGAGTTTAGTACCAGGAAAAAAATGTGCCTTCTTTGAGAAAGTAGTAAATTTTCTTCTTTTCTATTGGTGAGTTACGTAATCCATTGTGTTTCTCGTTTTTCTTTTTTTTTTTTGTCTTGGCTGACAAAACCATGCAGCCAGTTTTTATGTACAATTGTACCCACTGAGTTAGCCTTTATGGTTGGCATGTTTGCTTCTTCCTTTTTTCTTAACTTTCTTTCTTTTAATTTGTTCTTATAATATTATTGTATAGAACATTTTATAAATCTATTATTGTAAAATCTGTATGAGAAAAAGGTTGAGTGTACCAAACAAAACTTACAAATATATTGCTTTACCTGACACAGATTTTTTGAGGAATTTTCTGTTTTGTTTTATAAAATACTATTGAATTCAATATAGGATAGGCAAATTGTTAAATGTATAATTAAGTGTGATTTAATCATATGCCTTTGGCAAAATTTTGTAGACATAAAGTTATAAATCAGGAAAAAATCCTCGGGGCATAATCACCATAGTCATAGAGAAAATAAATTCTTTCATTCATTATATTAGTAAAGTCCTGCTTTCATTCAACAAATGTTTGTGTCAGCTTTGTAGTCACCATGGAGAATACGAACTTGTTTTAAAAAGAGGATCATCCTCAAGAAATTTACGGTTTGGGAATTAAGAGCCAGTGTGTTTACAAATCTTACTTAAAGACAGGAATGAGGTACTTCTTGTCTAGCTGCATTGTATGCCACTATGCCAGAATTTTTTTTTGTAATGAAGCTGGAAAAGAAGTCTTGTAAAGATTAAAAAAAAAAAATTGTTATAGGAGAATTTTGTTATGAAGAGAAGGAGAACTTCACTCAGAATAATTAATAGTTAAACTTCCCTCAAACTGAAATTTGCTGAAAAGGATTATGGGAAGTAAACAAATTAAGCATGACTTTATTACGATCTGCATGTAGCTATGACTAGGATTTCTTTTATTTTAATGTGAACAATATTTCTTTGAAATAACACTTTCTTAAAGGCAGAAAAATTACTGACTGCTATATGTGGACTGATAATATAAATATTTTATCAGTGTCCTAAACTCTCACACGGGAAGTAGGGTTATAGGAATATTTTCAAAGCTTGCCTTTGGTCTTTCAAGAATTGAAGGTTGAAGGTTGCTACAATCATTTGCTTTTCATATTCTGCTTGTCTTTTTTTCATGAGGTGAATAATATAAGAGTCTGGAAACCAATGCTGGGTGAAGGTTTTGCCTAGAGATCTGTTTAGATTAGTTACTAAGCTTCCCAGCTTGTGGTCATTGAAGGTCACTTGGTTGATAGCTAAAATTTCAATTGGAAACTTGTCATATAATCAGGATTTAAAGCCCAGCTGAGACTTTGTCTCTCCTGTGAAAGGGGAGGTTGTTTTATGATTAGCTTCAGAATGTTAAATTAGGTGTTGGCAATTATGAGCCTTTTTTGCAGTTTAAATTGCACTATGGAAACACCTGTCCAGAATAGCAAAAGAAAGCATGCCTTAAAAAAAATAGAAAAGTCTGATTCTGTTATGCATGAATAGTCCTGCTTTTATTATCAAACCCTAGAAGTCACATTTAACTACTCTTGAGAAAGAATACTTTTTGTATCCTTTAACAGTGATTCTCAAAACGAAGCATCTTATTAAAGATATCTTTTGTATGTGGCACAGGGAAATAATTTGCATAAAGAGCCCATTTTTTTAAATGACTGAAATGTTTTCCAATTTATTTTCAATGTTTATTTTTCCATTCCAGTAGTCCTCATGTTCTTAGAACAAGTATATGGATGACCCATAAAACCATACCCTAAAATTGACAAAACTTAATAAATTCTTCTGCTACTGTTGTAAAAGGGATTCAGTACCTTTGGGTATGAGAATCGAGCAAAAAGATGATTGAGAGTATAGGAAAGAAACTCTGAATAAACTTCAAAATCACTAAAGTTCTTCTGATAAAAATAATACAACAATTTCAATCCTTTCACAGAATACATTGGGGATAGGGGTTTGGCACAGAGAGGAAGAAGTGGTTATTTATATATAATATAGTAAACCACCTTCATACCTGGCAATGTTGCCATATGGAGTCATACTGAAGTACTCAAACAAAACTTTCAAACAATATCAAGATCGGTTAATACATGAGTATTTCTTACGGGATTGGAAAACCTGTAATAACATTTTTCCCAAAAAGTTCCAGATAGTTGAGTTTCACCTGAATTAAAACATAATAATACTTATGTATATATAATATATTATATATATATATAAAATATTATATATATTTATATTTATATACTGAATTCACCCTTCCACCTAAAACAACCAAAGAAAAGAAGAGAGAGAGAGAGAGAGAGACAAAATATTTGAAACAATGGCTTTCAAGACCCTGAAAATCAGGCAACAAAGGAAGTGCTCTTAGAAGGATGAGCCCCATGGTTGCCCCCAGTTTACTGCTTTGAGAGAGTTTTCAGGCTACAGAACAGGGAAGGGGAGCGCAGAAGGAGCCTGGCAGACTCCCTGAGATGAAGAGGTAGAGTTGAGAGTCTGGGGAGACCAAGGTAGCTAGAGTTCACTCGACAGAGTACTAAAGAGGAGAGAGATGTACAAAGAAAAAAAATCCAGAAATCTGTAGAGAGTTCCTCTCAAGTAGTATTCCACAAAGTATTGATCAGCACAGGCATGGACAGAAACTGCCTGAGGCTAGGAAAAGAATCATCTGAAATGGCCTGGAATGGTACATGTCCCCATCAGCCATTCTAGAAAACCTCATAATTCATGGGCATTGGGTAGAAAACTGGGAAGGATCTTTCTCAGTAGTGGAGAATTGGTCCTAGTAAATGTTACTCTGGTCCCACCTAACAATTCTTAAAAGCAAGATGTGAAAAAAGTGAAATTGTTTCTAAGTAACTTAACCACACCCCAGAACAAAATTCAAGAACATTTATAGGAATACAAAAATAGCCAGCATTAAATATAGTAAAACCCACAATGTCTGGGAACCAATCAAAGATGACCAGCATCCAAAGAAGTATGAAAATACAAACCATAATGAAGTTCAATCAGTTGAAACTGACTCAGAACCAATGCAGATGTTAAAATTAATAAACGAGGGTATTAAAACAATTATGATTATATTCCATATGTTTAAAATGTTAAGTGGAGACATAAAAGATATTTAAAAGATCCAAATTGAATGTCTAGAGGTGTTCTCTTGAAAACTACAATGTGTGAGATGAAAAATACACTGGATGGGATTTACTGCAGATTAGATGCTACAGAAGAGAAGACTAGTAAACTTGGAGACATAGCAATAGAAGCTATTCAAAATGAAACAGAGAAAAACATACTGGAAAAAAGTGAAGAGAGGATCAGCGAGTTGAGAAACAACTTATCAAATTATGTATTTAAAATATATGCTGTTTATTATATGTCAGACATATATGTGTATATACATACATATAGATAGATGTTTAAAAATATGAACAATAATAAGTACCCTCAAGAATTTATAATCTAGTCATTAAATCAAGGGGGATTTATAAACAACATGTTACATAGCAGCATAGACTGGTATCACTCTTACAAAAATCAGTTTAAATTAGCAGTTTGGTGTAATACATATATGCACTCAGAACAATTCTTACTAATAAAATGAAAGAATATTTTTTTCTATATAGAAAACATTTTTAGCATATTATACTTTTATAATATCTTAAAAGTTTCTGCATATGATAATAAATCTAATGTTACTGAAATAATAACATTTGGAATAACCTCTTTTAACCTTTACAGAGTACATTATCCCAATTCACTTTTTCAACATACAATTAATTTTTTTAGAGATAAAACTTTTGAGTAGATTTAATTGCCAAAATAACTACCTTGGAAATGGAAATAACCTTCAATTATGAACTATGATCAAAGAGAGCTTTTTCATTTTTCACATTGTTTCATGAAATGACTTTCATTCCCCCCCATCACCTTTTAAGTAACTTTGACATGACATTTTATTTTTCATCACTGGTAAAATACTTTCAGTTGAATACAGTTTAATGAGACAAACCCTTTGGCCAGTTCTAATGCAAATAGATCAACGTGTGGGGAAAAAGTGCAGCCAGGTGCGAAAAGGGTTTTCATATTGCTTGGACACTTTTGTTTGAATGCTTTAGTCCAAATCCATATGGTAACATTACCAGGTATGAAGGTGTTTTCCTAAAGCTGATGTGTAAACCAGTGGCAAAGGGACAACTGCCATTGATTCACTGATAGTGCATGGATATTTCTTTCAGGCTTAGAAAACCAAATATATCTTATTCTTTCCCATTCTCAGAAAGCCCTAACTAATTATTCCGTGAACAAATTAGTTCAGATGGAAGGCTAAAAAGAGGAAAGTGTATAGAGAACTTAGAAGCTGTAGAATATCAATTCAAATTACTCATCTCTGAGAAATGTTTTTGGAAGACCAAACAGAATCTTATTCATCTTATTCATCTCCTCCATTATAAGAGTCCATCAACTGAACAACACATCATCAATTTCAAGACAACTTTTAGATTACACGTCCATGTAGGTTGGAAGCTGCATCCCAGTTTTAGAAACATTTGAGAGTCTTTAAATCAAGGAAATGTGCTATTTTATCATAAAGAATCAGAAATTTAAATTTTTAATATATTTCAAATAAATATATATGAAAAGAGCACATACATTAACAACAATTGAACAACAATTAATAGTAAAACATCAGTTTTGGTTTAATTTCTGTGGATAGGTTTAAAGAAACTTTCAAACACATATGATTTCACACCTGAATTTTTTTACTTCCATCTCTTGACACATATATTAGAACTTTATGGCCATGGTGCAACAGAAGCAATGAGTTTTTGTAGCCAGGAGAAGTGTGGCTATTATTTGATAGATTATTTCAGTTCACCTTTAAATAATTGTCTACTAAAATTTGATTCTATCTGGATGCTCCCGAATTCCCCCTCAAGTGTTTAGCTGAGGGTCCATCTTAAATTCCAAGGTGAAATTACAGGGTGATCTGTTTAGAAAAGTAAAAGAGAGAACAAGATTTAAACAGCTCAAAATTAAAAATAAAATGTATAAATTGATACCTCTTTCATTAAAGTCTGTTCTCAATCAACAATCAGCTAATCAATAATTGCTCACTGGAACTTAATATATGCAAAATATTTCATTACACTTTCATCAAACGTAGAAACACAATGGAGTACCAAGTGACTCAAAAATCTCTAAACTGGCAATAATAATACATTGAACGTGAACAGTGGAAGTTGTTTCCTTTACTTAAATAAATGATGTCAATGTCATTGGCTGTGTAGCCGAAATCTAGAGAGTAAAAATATTTTTAAGACTAGAGAAATGAAATGGGATGTGGGGTTCCCGGGGCACTTGGAAAAGATAGAATCTATGATGGAGGAGGTTTTGCCTACATCTGGCTAAGAAAACTTAGACATAACTTATTTAGTGGTCAAATGAGGTGCGAGAGTGGGATTAGGAACTGGGGGAAAATAGGGCCCTTCCCCACAAATCATTTTCAGGGTCAGACTTGCCTGCTCTGCCTCTTTTCTTTGTTCATTAAAGAGTTTCTTCACTTGCTTCTCTTCTGTTTTCTTGCTTGGTTCCTATCAGTGGCTCACTTCACAATTCCCATGCAATTCCCATGAACTTCCTCGGAAGTAGTTGGTGCATGTAATTTGGGAGTGAGCTCCTAAATTCTTAATGCTTGGATTGATTTCAAGTTTCTCATTAGTTTACCATAAGAGCTGGAACATACCAGTGTTTCAAAATTTGGGGGGATCTTTACTATTAATCTTGAGTTTGAAGAACATGCTTTGTCCTAATAACAATGTTGTGGTTTTTTGATTTGTTTTTTGGGTTCTTTTTGTTTGTTTGTTTTGCTGTTTTGAGAAATTCTTCTAGATTAGTGTATACAAGATTCTGTGTGTTTGTCCATTTTTCTGGGAAGAAGTTTCATAGAGATGTTTCTTAGAGATGTTTTTGCCCCCCAAAAGGATGAAATTATGGTTCTAGTTATTTCATTCAGTCAACTAACATTTATTAGGACTGTAATATTTGCTGCAAACTATGCTAAATGCTAAAGAGCAGAGATGAGTAACAATTCCTTTACTGAAGGAGTTCTCTGAGGTCAGACAGCCACTGAACCAGACCACCACAGACCAGTGCAGCGAATTCCGTAATAAAAGTACTTGAGTGCTCTTTAAACACAGAGGAGGGAGAAATTGAGTCTGGGGGAGCTTAGGAAAGAGTTATTTTAAGTTGGGACATGGTTCCTAGGTCTTGAAGCCCAAGGAGAATATGAGCTACTGTTGCTCCATCTCCTTGCTCATTGGTGGATCAACCACACGCAGCCATTGGGGGTTTAGAGTCCGACGATTCTAGTTTCTCACCAGCACTTTCACGGAATGTAACCCAACTATAACTGGCTCCAGAGATTCTACTGATTTACCTCTCTCAAAGAGTCTCTGCTATTTCTCAGTTATTTCTGAGTTTCCCAGGATAGCCTTTTGCTTGCTTTTTGAAACTACTCTGCCTAGGCATTCCTCTCAGGCTTGTACATTTTGTCCTTACGCTTTTGCTCCACTGCTAGTGAACCTCAGAAAGTCTCTGTTCTGTTGGGCGCACTGGGCTGCCAGTGACCACTGTCTTTCCTCTATACAGTATCCAGAGGTCCAGGTCCTGTTACGTCTCTTCACTTGTTAGTAGGACCAGGCATGGCCAAGGGATGCCATACTCCCCAGAAGACGGTTGTTTCCAAAGCTGTCACTTCTCTGTTCTGCTGATGTTCTTGCTACTACTCCTGCTGGCAATGGAAAGGGTGAGCTCTGTGTTTATTAGCTCTTAATCTGCTTCTCCACAACCAAATGGGTTAGAGATTATTGGTATCCCTTCATGTTCTGTGGCCAGTTCTATTCACACCTGCAGCTTTCTCAGATGATTGTTCTTTGGCTACGGAAGCAGAGCTGGAACTATCTGGAGTCTACAAGTCCTCATTCCTACCACCTTTGCCCAGCAGGCAGCCAATGACTAACTGCTGCTGCAAGTGGACTAAATTCCAGCTCCCTCGCCTCAAGGCAGGGCAATGTGTGAAGCCCAGTTTACACCGCAGATCTACCCACAGGATCAAGTCCAGGCTAGGACCTCACCTGAAACCATACCATTGGTTGGCTTTTCCTTTCACATATTCTGTCTTTCCTGTGCCCTTTCCAATTTCCCCCTTAATAAATCACTTTCGCACAAATCCTTTCACATCAGAATCTGTGTTGTGGAAACTCAACCTAGGAAGCCAGGTCAATCCCATTCCCGGAACTCCCTGGGCCTGAGAAAGAAGGATGTTTCTCCAACTCTCAGTTCAAAGATGCATCTTATGCTTATTCCATATTGAAGATTTTCCCAGGATGCTTGACAATGATCACTTTTATTCTTTTTCAGTGGGAGGGAAACATAGCTGATTCTCTCAGGATGCGGCCTTGCCCCAGGGCAGCGACAAGATAATCTCAGAATAGCCAGATATTAGTATTTTTCAAGATCTGGATTATACAACCTTATCCATGGTCATGAAACTTTTTTTTTCAGAGTTTGAGCTAGGATAGAGGGGAGAAGCTAATAATACACAAATATGGCAAAAGGAAAGATTATGGTAAGAATTCCAATGTGGCTGGAGAACAGAATACACAGGCATGAATAGAAGATGAAATTTCAGATGCTAATGGGCTTTACCCCCCTTCTAAAGAGTTTGACTTTTATCCTATAGGCACCAGGGGTGTTTAAATGAGGTGGTGATATGAGGAGTTTTGTTTTTGTTTTTGTTTTTTGCAGTACGCGGGCCTCTCACTGTTGTGGCCTCTCCCGTTGCGGAGCACAGGCTCCGGACGCGCAGGCTCAGCGGTCATGGCTCACGGGCCCAGCCGCTCCGCGGCATGTGGGATCTTCCCGGACCGGGGCACGAACCCGCGTCCCCTGCATCGGCAGGCGGACTCTCAACCACTGCGCCACCAGGGAAGCCCTGTTTTTGTTTTTTAAAGATAAAGATCATAAGGGACTGAAGAGAAAGAAATGGTGAGAGGCCTGGGCATAGAGATTGGAAGTCAGCTGCACAGGGAAATATAGTTTGGGATGTAAGATAAAACTCTGGATAAAGATAAGATAATTTAGGGACTCTGTAAAGAAAAGAGAAGGATATCAAGGAGAATACCCCTTTCATACTGAGGAAACAAACTCTAAAATGCAATGTGTGGGCAAAATGGAAGGAGGAAAGACGGGACATGGATAGGAACCAGCAGATATTAATACCTTAGAATCCATGGGAAAAATAATATAGAGCACCAAATTTTATAGAAAAATCGAGTAATGTGAGAACAAAATAGGATTTGGCATTGAGAATGTCATTTGTGGCTAAAGGGAAGACAATAGCAATAGGGTAATAAGAAAGGAAGCCAGATTGTAATAACTTAAGAACTGTGTGAAATTTGGAAAACTAGACTCAGTAAGTGTGGTCTTCTCCCTCACACCCGTTTCCCAGAAGATTAACCACAAATTGAAAAAGGCATTAGGAAGTAGTTTGAAGAGGATGTGGAAATAAAAGAAAATATATTTGAGGGTGAGGGAGGCTTATCAATATACTCTGGAGGAGGGATGAAGGAAAAAAAAAAGTAGAATATCTACAAAAAGAGGGGTTAAATGATGATCAAGATCCTAGATATGGGGAAGGATGTCTTAGAGAGATGGCCAGGGGATATTGTGCTCTGAGACAGGAAGGAATATGGATGAGGAGTCATCTATGGCCAGAGGTCACGTGCCAGGGAGATAGGTGAGCAGTTTACAATGTCCACTCTTTCATTTGAAGAATCAGACAGAGTCAACTGCTGTGGGTTAGAGAGATGGAAGTGAAACAAGCATTGTGAAGAGGGATGTAAAACAGGAAATATAAAAAAAACATAATCACACATGAGAGAAAGAATTACCCAGTGGTACTGAGGGCCCAGCAGGTTTAGAGTAAGGTGTGGTGATACTGTTCAGCCCCCTTGTAGAATTTTAATGTTCAGGACCAAGGACAAATAGTAAAGAAAAAAGATAGTTATAAATAAAGTGAGTGGGTCTATTTATCTTTGGTTATGTATTACCATGATGGTGGCTGGGGGTGGGTAATGCCTACAGAGAGACAAAATACAAAAGAAATTGAGGGTGCTGGTGAAAGTGCATTTAAGTGATTAAACCATGATATCTAGATTGCATTGGAAAGGAATTGATATCAAAAGGAAGTGGTCAGATCTGGGAAACCAGAAGGACGTTTCAGGCAAGAAGAGTATACAGAAAGTTCCAGAATTAACCCTTCACAAAGTGTATGGATAGGAAAGAGAGGCCCAAGGAAGGCAGAGAATGTGAGCTGGGGAATGGGGGTGGACAGCTGGTGAGTTTTGAAAGCCCAGCACAGCTAACACGCTAACTGCATGCAAACAGAGAAGAAAGCTAAGTCCAAGTTATCTTTCGAAAAGACTTGATGGAAGGTAAGACATAGAGAATGATGGTGAGAAGCAGCAAAGATGAGACCCACATTCCTAAATTCTTGTCCTGAAAAACAGAATAACAATATCCCCAACAAAATGAAATACACAAACAAGGAAAGAGGTCTAAGTGGAAAGGGAGCTGAATGTAGTGTTAGATGTGATGAAATATTCAACTGGAAATTTCCTCCAGACCACTGGAAATACACATTTTAAAATATAAACTGCAACGGTATTGGGGTCACGCCTGGAGTGTTCCACTTCAGATCTCAACAACTTCTGATGTTATGTGTTGACCTGGTATCACCGGAACAAATTTCCCCATATCACCTAGTTTTCTAAATAATTCCCAGCTCAAAATCTATGCTGTCGTCATACAGAATCATTAAAAGCTAGCATGTAGACATAGAGAATTTAACCTGGGACACTAAACCACATATGGAGTACGGGATAGTTATCATTCTTGCAAAAGCATTTAATGTCTAAACTGATATACAGCAGCACTAGGCTTTTGAAGCTAGCCAGTGATTCACATACATTGAAGTGGGGTAGGATGAAGGTGTGGAGCATAAGAGCACCTCATCATGCTTGGGAAATTCATCGAACACTGGCTTAAGTCACAGTTTTGCTCTGCCTGGGGGAGTTAGGAGAATGCTCTCTATGAACAAGTACATCATTTCTGTTAGGATACTTAAAACTCTAGGCAATGAAAATGACTCAAGGAAAACTATGTATCCTAAGGAGCTGATAGAGATAATCCTCCTTCAGAAACCTAGATTTATTTTTCTCTTCAAAGCAATATCATGCTCATCATATTGCAAAATAATTTATTCATCACAAGTACATATGTATTAGTAAGTTATGGCTTACAAATATTGTCTCTGGGGCTCTTTTCTTATCCATAGCACTGTGTAAATTGTCTTTATTAGGCCAAGTCCATGAGATCTAGCTGCTAATTCTGAGGTTAATGCAAAAAACATGGAAATTTGCCCCTTAATTCTACTAACCAATATTTCCTTCTTTCTGTCTCAAATTTTCTTTTCTTTTCCTGAGTATCACAATCTTGGCACAAGCAAGTTTTATATTTTATATGAGTAAAATCAGACACTTTATTTTTCCAAATGAGGCCAATACATAGTACATTGCTCAATCTTGCATTGTTCTTTCCATTCAAAATGTGGGTGAAATATCTTGTCCCAAAGGACGTACAGATATTATCCAACTTGGTAGGTGTAAAGTAATTTATCAGCTCCCTCCCCAAGTATCTGGAGAAAGAATTCCATCCATATCCCAATAAAACTCCTTTTCATCACCAAGGGTGTAACCCGTCAACGACTGACCAAGCACAGGTGGTGTTCACTGAGACTTAGAAATGAAATGCTCTCCCCAGAGTGAACAGCTTCTTACAAGAATATTCGGAGTACAGTGTGTTCCAGGCATGCGGCACCTGTTACCCACTTGTTTAAATGTCTCATGAAGGGGAGAGAGAAAAAATAGTTTCTCTCTGTCTCCGGGAACATACATAAATTTAGCATACAGTTCTTTTTTGGCCAAGTACAAGTTTGAATTACCTTAAGAAAGGCCATAGGATATACTTTCTTAAAGATGCTCTTCATGCTACAATTTATTCCATAAAATGACTGAGAGGAGGTGGTGGCCAGGAGAAGGGAAGAAAGGGATGGAAATAAAAGAAATGAAAACATAAAATGGAAGGAAGGCAGTGTTACAAATCCAGCATTGAAACTGGTATGAAAAAGGAAACATCAATTTACTCTTACTGCTAATGTTTGCGTGTGTCCAAGTATTTGGTCTCCTATGTCTACTTAATTATGAGACATGTGAGATCCAGGTCACTGCTTTTTAAATATTGAAAAATCACTAAGTATGAAGATGTTATTGCCAACTCTTGAGGAAATAGGTTGAGTTTATATTATTTTTTCTACATTTTGAGGTTAACTCAGTCTCAGTAGGAAACTGAGTGTTTTTCCTCACCAACCAGTCTTAATCTCGTTAGCATCATACTTGAATGAAAATACATTGGTCCAACATTATTTCATTAAGTATCGTTATTACCATTGTTGAAAAACATAGGAACATTGGAATGATTTTAGAAACAACGTCATTGTTATTTCCATTCAAGTTGTACCATGCTCTTAAATAGGCATCATCTACTACGGGTTGCACACACAAGTGAGCACAGTTGACCCTTGAACGACAGGGGTCTGAACTGCACAAGTCCACTTATATGCGGATCGTTTTCAATACCAGCCTACCACAGAACTATGCGCTCTCCAGTTGGTTGAATCCACGGATGAAAAATCGCGGACATGGAGCGCTGACTATAAAGTTATAGGCAGCTTTTCCGCTGTGTGGAGGGTCAGTGCCCCTAACCCCACAATATTCGAGGGTCAACTGTACTTTCAAAGTACATGTGCATGGGCTGTGCATGCACACATATGAGTGTGTGGACTCACATGGACACATCTGCACACCTCACAGGGTTCAGACAAAGCTGTGGCTGCTCAGCACCCGACCTCTTCAGCATTTCATTCCAATATTGAAGTGAAGCATCTGTCTTTACCCTTTGGACTACTGTAACTTTTAGAGCACTGTTTATTTATAGCCACTCTGTGAGTTGTTCTCCAGCCTTCTGGGGCTGCTTTCAGAATTACAAGCATACTCATAAGAAGGGAATTCAAGGTCAGTAGTCTGTGTTAAGCAATTCCTATATTTATAAATTTTCTAGAAATGGATAACTTATCATTCTTCCTCTCCATGCTTGCTGGGCTCAGGACCAGCCGCTATTTTCACAAAATCTTTTTTTAACGCAGAGATGAACATCTAACGTGCATCTGTGGTTCAAGCTCACCCTAAGGGCTTGTGACGCCAGTGACTGGCTAAGGACTAACACTTTGGAATCAGTCCCACCTTCTCTTTCTGCCAGTCTGGCTCACCTCACGAGCAGGAGCAAAATGAGGAACAGCATCCAGCCTTGAAAAACTCTTCATTGTCGCTGCAGTTCTGTCCAGGGAGTAGAAGAATGTGCAGGGATTAGAAATGCATATTTCTGTTGTCGTTGTGTGTGTATGTGTTTCACATTACAATTTAAATTGTTCCTTCTTCTTTTTTTTTTTTTTTGGCTTTTCACCGAACTTGAGTGAGGGCTTCTGTTTAGTTTTGGACTCTGACACTTTCTTAAGACCCCATCAGATAGAAAGATTTCATGTCCCTTGTTTTTGTGGGAAAAATAAGCAATGGCAATTTTGTATAATGTTGAGTATGCACTTATTGTATGACTGGGTAAACAAAAGATTGCTGCACAGATTTATGAACAAATCCAGGAAAAATCAACAATTAAAATAAAAGCTATAGAAATCATAAAATGAAGGTAGTTACCCACGTGTAAAACTCTTTCCAGGAAATGATTCAAGTAAAGTATGGGAATCTCTTAAATTTTATCCAGAAATCAGGTACTGCCTTGAAATCTCACTAAAAATACATAAATTTAAAATGTAACAAATATCTGGCAAAGAATAATGAAATGATAATAATGTATAAGCCATACTACTGTATACCAGAGTGGGCACCCAGTAAAGGTTTTTTCCTTTTTCACCCAAATAATTGTAAAATGTTTTGTTTTAACGTTTCAGTTATCTGCAGGAAGAATAGAGAAAGAAGACTAGAAATCTGTCTGTGTATTATAAGAACTACCCAGTGATGACAGTTTCCTACCTGCCCCATATAAACATCCTGTTTATCTTGGCCGACACGTACTGACATGTGGAGCACGGCATTAGTCTAGGATAAAGTGATAACATTTATCAGAATGATCCCTTAACTTTCTCTACTCTAAACCAATACCCACCGGAAATGTTTAGATCTTTATTTGGTTTCTCAAGTTGACTTTCCTAGTAGGACAGCGTTGCCTTCAGCAACCAAGGGATATATTCTACTTTACTTCGCGATAATTTTGTCAGCACTAATTAATAAATTGTTATTCTGTTCAAAAATAAATGTTGACAATTTTTACAATAAGAACCTATCTCTCAAAAGCTGATCACCAGATTTGTGATTTGGTGGAGTCAAGACATTTCCATCCCCTCTCGTCTCAAAACTCAACCCCTTAAAATCCAGGAAAACAAAACAAAAGCAAATAAATGAAAACAAACAAATTTGAATACCTTTTAAAAAAAATTAGAATAAACCTATAATCCCAAGCCACTGTGTTTGAAGATTGAAGTAAACAGAAAAATAATTTAGAACAATGGAGGAAATAAAGTCTTGAAGATGGATTTACTAATGCATTTGGCCCCTGACAACCCTGGAAAAGCTCAGAAGTTGGAATTACAGGGAACAATTTGAAGATATCAGGGAAAATATTTGAAAAACCACATAGGGAGCAATTAGCCCCACATCCCCAGTTCCCACTCACTCTGAGTACCTTCTGATGACTATCCTACTTCTAACACACCTGCAGGCATGAGGCACAGAAGACAGCAAGGTACCAAACTGAGGGGGAAAAAATAGAATTAAGCTAAAGTTGGCTTACTAAACTGTGGACCCTGAGCCTTCCTTTCCCACAAAATTCTGGAAATGTGGTAGGCATGTTAATTCCCCCTAGGTAGGTATAAGAGAAAATGTACTGCCTCACAGAAAACCTCAGTAGGAATGCAGACATTTGGGGGTTTCACAACACAGAAGCTGACTGGTCAGTCATGGTAAACACAGGAGGTTCAGCCTTGCATAAATACAGCCCACACCCAAAGAACTTCCTATTCAAATTTTAGGGGCTTGATCTTAATCAGAAACAAAACCAAAGAACTGAAAGCTTCTAAAATTAAAATGAGAAAAGAACCAAAACAAATTTAGGGAGCAAAAAACCACTGTAATTAATATCCTTAGAGGGTAAGTGAGGTATCGAACCCATGGAACAAGACTAAATGCATACAAAGAAATATTCGTGGAAAAAAGAAATAGAAATTAGAGCATAAAAAGATCACCCAAATAAAAATTCTATGAAAGAGTTGGAAGATCAAAGATACAAAGAGATAACCAATAGAAGAGAAAAGATGAAAGAAAAAAAATTAAGCAAAGAGGTCCAACCTCTGACTAACAAGAGTTCCATAGAGAAAACCAGAAAATTCCCCACCTCTGAAGGATGTAAGTCTCCAGATTGAAAAGACCTACCACCAAGTACCTAAAGCTATAAATGAAAAAAAAAATAAAAGAATAAAAAGTGTAAGGTCGGATCTTAACAAACGGCACCGCGAAAGAGGAAAGCTTCAAGTGAGCTTTATTAGGGAGCGCTCCCGGGCGAGGTTCACTGGTCCGAGAGAAAGGGGCCAGAGAAGTCGCACCCGGGTGAGGGTCGGGCAAGATATTATAGGGGAAGAAGGGAAAGGGGTGTGAATCTGGGAGGGCGCAGGGTATTCCTTATTTGGTGGTCTTTTCGGGTATCCTGGGGGACAGTTAGTCCCGCCCCTCGAAAGGCGGGAAGGCTGGGACGGGTTCAAAGTCCCCAGGTCAGTTCCTGGAACTGGGTGGTCCGGAGAATTTCCGTCTGATGCAACCTGTGAATCTGATTGTGTTCCCCTGCCTCGGGCCAGTTGGCCTTACAAAAAGGAGACCCTCCAGAGGAAAAAAAGGGGGCACATACAAAAGATCAGGAAAAATAATCGCTTTGCTTTCTAAAAGCAATGCAGAAAGCATGAGGACAGTAGCAGAGTGCATTTCAAATTCTTAGTGTGTATAATATTCATTCTAGTAGTTTATATCCAAATACACTATCAACCATTTGTAAAAATGAAATATGGAAATTTTAAGAAAAGCTGTGTCTCAAACAAATTACCTTCTGTACTGTTTCTCCAGAAGTTAATGATATATTTCATCCATAACAAGGGATAAGTCAAGAAGTAGGAAGACCTAGGATCAGGAAACAAATCCAAAATGGAGAGATCAAAAATCAAGATGACAGCTGGGCAGAAACCTTCTCACAGAGAAGAGACATTCCAGATTGGACAGCAGACCCCGAAAGGGATGTTTTCAGGGGAAATAAAGGTGAAGAAGAAATTGACAGATTAACAGATAGAATTGACTGTACGCGAATTTGAATGAGGCAATGTTTTACATAGCTATCAGAAGGTGTATAATGACTCAGCCATAATTTCTACGTAAATTAAGGAAACAGAAAAAAAATTGCACTTAATAATTCCATGGGAAAATACTACTAAAAATCAATATAAATAGAGCTTTCTACTTGGTTCAACAATGGATAGTATTTACACTAGTCATGAAAATGATAACACTAACTATGGATTTGTCACCAAACTGTGATAGAGTTGGATAATGTTTAAAGTTAATAATCAAAATAAAGCAATCTATACAGTATTTAGAAGTAAAGAGCTAAGTACCAGAAGAGCTAAGAGAGATGGCATTTCTTGTCTCCTAATGGAGATTGCTATGGTGAAGGTGCTAGTTGTGGGGTAGAGTGGGGAAACCTTTTAGCAATAATTTACTTTTAAATATGTAATCAGAATTAAAATTAAATTTTTAAAAAGCTTACCATCCCACTAAAATAAACTAGTAGCAAAAACTGATTTTTAAACATGCACTCAAGAATCACTCTTGAACCCTCCAAAATACAGATAACCCTCGAAGTACTACTTAAAACAGCCCACTAGCTTCTCCTTCATTTATCTGAAAATTGCCATTGTTGTTATCTCATTCACCATGTCACTGAAGGCTAGGCAGGGAATGAAACAGAAAATGTCTTTGCCCTCATGCAATTCATATCTTGTCCATAAGAGGTTAGATATAAAACGTCAGCTCTGATTCAAGGAGGTAAAAGGAGAGAAGGAGAGATATAAGGTGCTTTGAAGGGGAGTCAGGGATTGATGGAACAAATGAGCTTGGGTGCAAGATAATTTTAAGATCTAAGAAATCCCTGAAAGTTGAACATTTTTTTAAAAAAATGAGTAATATAGAAATAGTCACCTTTTTAGAGAAAGTTTGTATATTTAAGGATATACCATAGCGGGAATTCCACGGAGGTCCAGTAGTTAGGACTCGGCACTTTCACTGCCGGGGCCTGGGTTTGATCCCTGGTCTGGGGACTAAGATCCTGCAAGCCGCAGGGTGAGGCAAAAAAAGAAAAAAAAAAAAGAATATACCATATCAATTCCGTGGTAACTGCACCAGGAAAAATAAGGAAACCTCAGGCTACTGTTTCTGAAAAATTGGACATGGAGTTCGAACACTCTTTTGTCAAACATGGTGGGACTTTTCCTAACCTTAACCCTAACCCTAACTGAATTCTCTTTGGGAGAAAGGCGATAACAACCAAAAGTATTAATATGTCAATCTATTAAGGCTGTTATTTTTTAAAGCCTATGCCAAAATATATTTAATACTGCACCCTTCTTATACCAGCGAGATGAATTCAAATTCACTGTGTACCCTTGCAAATGTGAGATATTATCACAGTGCTTTTGCTCTCAAGCTGTCTATCTGCTGAAGGCATCTGAGCTTCAATCAACAAAAGCAACCTACATTACCATTCATTTGTGTACACCATGCAACGCTGATGGTGTGGCAAGATTTTTACTGCAAAATTTTCATTTATTCGTTTTTTTGTTTTTTAGTTTTTTTTTTTTTTTTTTTGCGGTACGCGGGCCTCTCACTGTTGTGGCCTCTCCCGTTGCAGAGCACAGGCTCCGGACGCGCAGGCTCAGCAGCCATGGCTCACGGGCCCAGCCGCTCCGCGGCACATGGGATCGTCCCGGACCAGGGCACGAACCTGTGTCCCCTGCATCGGCAGGCGGACTCTCAACCACTGCACCACCAGGGTAGCCCCATTTATTCGTTTTTATTTTTTATTTGTTTGTTTAGCAGTTGTGGAGTACTGCAATGTGTCCGGCACTGTTCACAGGCTGGAGATACGGGGTGGCCAGCACAAAACTCACGTTCAGAGAGGAGGAAACAAATGATCAACAAGTCAACAAGTAAATACCCCCAACATCTTCAGAGACAGATAACCACTATAAATAAAATACAACACAGAGAATGAAGGTGTTAATTTCAATGGCGGGGTTTGAGAAAAAAACTCAGAGCATTGGGTCATCCCATAATGTCACTTGGCCTGGTAACATCCCTGATAGGTTCCATGACCTTGTCCTGAGAATGTCTCTTTTTTTTTTTCACCTAGTAAGCAGTTTGACAAATTATCATTTTATACACATGGTCCAATATAGAAATCATTTTCTTATCCTGTTCTCTGGACTTCTCTGAGAGTCTGAACTGCTGACTCTCAAGATGCTTTCATCTAGATTTTATTTTTGCCACATTCTTTACCTATGCAGCAATCTCCTGATTTTCGACCCAGCTCACAGGTGATTTGATTCTTGCAAAATCCCTTTTGGCACTTAACTTGTCCAATGAACGGGAACTGTATTCCTGTAGGGCTGCAAGGAACTGTATTTTGAATGACAGTCTAATATTCTCTTAATGCACAGTGGATAAGTGTATTTTCTACTGCTTTGCTTTGCTCGTTCAGAACCCTCTCAAACTTTACACATGGCATTCGGACCTTCCCAGCATACAGGATGACATGACTTCAAGTCTTATTGAACTTTAATCCCCAAAGCACTTGAAAGCATTTGAAAATCCATTTTACTATCTAAATAAATTTTATTTTACCCTTGTGGGTTTTATAACATTAATTTTAGGTTTAATTAAAAACAAAGAAATTCTAAAAATGATTTTCGCTGGTTGCTGTTTTTATGCAATTACTCTAACCTA